AATGTCCAGAGACGCCCCTCGAGGCTTGCCAATGACGGGGCAGAGCGGAGGGCCCTGTGCTGTGACGGAGCAGCTCCGGCCACCCGTACTGGCATTCCTCTTCAGGGACCCTTTCTGATGAGCCAATTGGATAGCTTTGTCTAAACGTGACTGTCCTTTTCCTGCCTGTGACCTCCTAAACGACAACCTCGTAGGTCACACACACAGTGGGGACTTCACAAGGATTGTGGAAAATGGAATTAAAGTACAAGTTTATTTTGGAGCAACAACAATCTGATGTCCATGCATTTTTTCCATATACACATTTCCCACAAAACTTTTAAAGAACTCTCCTACCTTCCCATATGTCTGACTTTAAAAAATGCATTTTGTAATAGGGGAGATACTGGGGCATTTAAGTTAATAACCTCATTTAAAGATGCATTTAAATAAAAAACAAACATAAATATTAACCGGTGAAATAAGAGGTTTTTTAAAAACTAGTTCTTCCACTATTTTTCCCTTACATTCAGAGGTAAAACATAAAAGCCTAAGTTTAGTACTTATCAGCATGTGCTTTAGTATTTATTTATTTTCAGGAAGCATGAAAATGACTCATTTAAAATGTAACCGCCTAAACGCGGGGCTCCACCCAGAGCTTTCGGGTCAGAGTCCCCAGAGCTGGGGTTTTCTTCCTGGGGACACAGTAGGGTCCCGGCGTGCACTAGGGGGCGCTCACAGGCAGCCAGGCCAGCCACACGCCGCCCTCGCCCTCTCTTCATCTAGCCCTTCTGTCTCTGTCTCCGAAATCCCAAGGGAAGCGCCGGGTGACGCACTGCAAAGGTAGGCGGCCTTTCCGGAGCCTCATAGCTCTCTGAGCGGCACTGCGCCGAGCTGCAGGGGCTGCCATACCGGCGGCAGACGCCTCCTTACAGCAAACTGGTCGATTTAAGTTGAAAGCATCCCTGAGCATTCACTGGGTGGACTTGAATTAGTGGCTATCATTTGGATCTTGACCGGCCATTGCCGATCACAGGGACTTTTTCATCTCTATGAACCCTAAGAGAGCTATAGGGCAGCCCCCGGATGTCCCGTGTGACGTGTCCTGCACGCCTCCTGGCCGCTTCCACTAGCGCCTCTGGTGTGGCTGTGTGCGGTGTGGCCGTAACACGCTAAGAGCATCGCTTTCCCCGGCTGATCGCGGTTCTTGGATGTAGAATGTCTCAGTTCGAGCGACAAACAGCGCCAGGGCTGAGTCCAGGGCTCCTGTCCTTCCCCCAGCTTGTGCCGTTAGTAAGCCTCCACAGAAGGCCTCTTCACCGGCGCGTCCCTGCCACTCGCCCAGCTGGACGGCTCCTGTGCGTCCCTCCTGCACACCCACAGCGGCTTCCTGTGTGGCATGGAAATGGCGCTGCGTCCTTTATCCTGACCTACTTCTGTGAGCTGCCTGGCGAGGCTGATTCATGTCTCATGAGGAGAGTTGATGGAATCGCTTTTCATTTAACTTTAAACTCACTCACTCCTGCCCCTCGTTGGACTAATGTCAGCCAGTCTGCTTTTAGATTTTTCGGTTGTCATGGCTACACAGTCTGTGAGCCTCGATTTGGGAGAGGGGGTTGAGGAAAGGAGGAGAGCCCGGAGGGAGCGGCATGAAGGGGCACGACAGGTGCAGGTGCAGGGAGCTGGCGAGGAGGGCTCTGGTCGGTGCGGCAGGTGAGGCCGTGCCGGGTGAGAGCCCAGGGCAGGTCGTCCTGCTAAAGCAGCAGGCGAGAGCAGGCCAGGGGTTCTGCGTGGAGGAAGGACTCCGTGCAGCCCAGGCTGGACCTCGGTGGGTTTGACTGCAGTGTACATAAGGTGACCCGGGGGGAGGTCGGCGCCGGTGCGGGAAACGTTCTCACAGAGAACGACGGGGGACAGTGACCGCAGTGTGCGGGGGTGAAGGCACCCTCCTCCCAGGTCGAGCGCGGTGTGCAGGGCGAGGAGAGTGTCTGACACACGCGTGTGAGCCCTCAGCACGCACGCAGCAGCGCACCCTGGGCGGCCTCTGTCTCAGCGATGCCGCGTGTGGCTGCATCTGGAACTCCTTAGAAATAAGACCTACAAAACTAATTTGTACAGTGGCCTCACGACTTCTCACCGACTGGCCCTGTGCTGACGACTCTTCTGCTGGGTCACGTCCAGCCACCCCCCCCACACACACACACACCTGCCCACTTTAAGTGCCGTGGGGCCGAGGCCTTGGTCTGCTGCAGCGCACCAGAGCTCGGCGAGTTCAGTCTGAGCGGGATTCCGCAGGAGCTCCGATGGCTCTATGCTCTTATTTTCTCCCGAAAACTCCAGTCAGGACCCCCGAGGTACTGTTTTTACGGTCCAAGGGTTGTCCTATGGCAATATGCTCTCGGTTCTTATTTTGTCCCCATTCCTCATGAACACGTCACAAGTCGTCTGACCAGGAGCGCTCTCCGGGCGACACTGCCCCCACTTCTCCACGGCCACTCACGCTCGTTTCCCACGCGGCCTGTCCTGTCTGCACGCACCCACGCATGCGCTCTGCCTGTGTTCTCGCGCCTGGAAGACTTGCCGGCTGTCAAAGATAAAGACACACTGTTCTGTCGCGATGTAACGCGGTTAAGTAGTGCGAGACAGCTGGTGAACTGTGATGTCGGGATGGTGCACACACTGAGCCAAGGAGGACTGAAGGGGGTCTCTCGGGTCAGTCGTAATTTCCTGGTGAGGAGTGTGAGCACTAACATCTCATGGAACTAATTGCTGGACTCGAGTTCCTCCTTGCCTTTTACTTACCTCCAATTTCTTATTTATTTCACATACTTAGATAAGCAGAATGTCCAAAGCAAACAGAGGCACACTTTTATTTTAACGGTTTAATTTATGTGCTAATTGTTTTGGCCCTGGGAATGACACGGGTGACGTCCATGTCGATACTGAAAGGCTAGAGAGGTATAGTCCTTGGAGGTGTGCTGGCGCCCTGTACCGTACTGATCACTTGTTCTTTCTGCAGAAGAAGGATATGTAAAAATGTTTCTCCGTGGCCGACCTGTCACCATGTACATGCCCAAAGATCAAGTGGACTCTTACAGCCTGGAAGCAAAAGCAGACTTGCCAACCAAGAGGCTTAAGCTGGAATGGGTGTATCCTTCTCCTGCCGATTAGATCTTACACAGCCCATCAGTCAACGAAGGCTTTTGGGAGAAGCTGAACTGTAGACATTCATTTAAAAAGTGCTAAGCTTAGAAATATTTTACTCTCACTTAAAAAATAATAATTTAGCCACATTGGCCGTCTGTTAGAACTCAGTACAGGACCCTAGCGGAGGGGGAGCTCTGCAGAGCTGCTGACTGAGGGGATCAGACTCCTGATGGGGGGTGGGCCTCCTGCTCGAAGGCATGCACATTACCTTCCTGAGATGAAGATGTTCAAGTGTTACATGATTGTATGATCGTGTGGATGATCTGGGTGGGGATGGGGCATCAGGAGAAAATGCATTACTAATTTCTCCATTTCAGTCTTTCTAAACACAGATAAAATCTTATAGAGAAAGAAGTTTAATGAAGATTTCTTTTAAAAGTAGAATTTAGGATTCTAATGAAAATGAAAGCCAATTTAAGCAAAAAGTCTTGCCTCCTTTTCCCCAAGAAACCATGTGAGCTCGCTGGAGAAAGACAGAGGGAAAGTGAGAAAGCAACCCCTGTGGGGAGTGGTTGCACCTCAATCCCTTCTCCTTCGATTCTCCCGCCTTTTTGGGATTTGGGTGCGCATGCAAGCCACGGATCTGGGACTCACACCGCGCAGTCACCTGGTGGGAGCCAGCTGCCTTCGCCGCCATGCCACCAGCAGGCCCCATTGTGTTTAGTAGGCACTTGTACTTGGTTAGCTTTGCAGACACAGACGGAAGAGCCAAGCGCTCTGCCTATTTATGGGGAAACAGCGTTGAAAATGCAGGAAGATACTGAGTTTATGAATGAAGAAAAGGAAATACCTGAGATTGAAACTAAGCCATGCTGGTAAAGAGTTTTTAAACCCTAAGAAAGAGAGATACACTGAAAGGAAGGACTGGTATTCTCTCCTTTATGCAAGTCGGGCTGGCTGCAAGACACGCTGCCTTACTGTAAGAACGCACGCTCCGCGGCATTGAGGGCGGCACATGGACGGCATGAACGAGGCGGGCATAGCGTAGGCGCAGCCCTACTTCGTAAAGTGCAAAATAGCTCTTCATAAATCTAGACCACGGGAGGCCAAGCCAGCCTTGTGACTAACACCCTTGGGCTCCAGCTACTGGAGGCTTCGCAGGCTGAGGTTTGGATAAGTGAGTTTTCAGGAAAAAGCAAAAACTGAAAGACAGGAATTAAATGTGAATTAAATGTTGACTTTCTCCCTGTTTAATTCGATGTATTTATGCATTGCATTAGAAGAAACTTACAGAGGCTACCTTCCAGTCCATGCAAAGTCTTTCGGCAAAGAGTAAAAATCCTTCTTTCACCCTTGAACAAATATTAATTGGGAACTTGTTTTAAAAATAAACTCATTATCGACTCAATAATTTTCTAAAAGTAAAACCAGCTTTTTGTAGGATTGAAGGTATGTGTTCACTGGGGCCAGCAGGTGGTGTGGTGGCGAAGGTACTGGACTCCCACACCTCTGAGGAGCGCATACACCGATGACGACCCCCCAAAATGTGTTCACATTGTGTCAGTAACTGTTTCCAACTTGATTGTTGCCACGTAGGGGTCAGGCGTAGCTCACTGCGTATGTGCGATTTAAGGTTATCTGGAATCAGTGGAGTCGATGGCCACTGTCATATCCCCCTGCCCGCGCCTGCTGAATGCGGCTGGCGCTCATCAGCTCGTGAAGGGAAGAGGCTTTTATCTTGACACGCACAAAGCTACGGGTACAGGGGTCGGGACTGCCGTAACAACCTGTACCTGCTTCCGACGGGGGAGACCGTGTACTTCATCGCGTCGGTGGTGGTGCTGTTCGACGTGGAGGAGCAGCTGCAGAGGCACTACGTGGGCCACAGCGACGACGTGAAGTGGTGAGGCCCAGACACGGCTGGGGTGGGCTGCAGAGGACAGGGAGCGGGAGCACAGGCCTGCAGGCAGGGCTCTGCAGGCTGTCCGTGCCGCCTTCGCTGCCGGCTCTGTGAGACGCTTCGCGGCCAGCCTTCTGTCCTCACCGCACGCCCTCTCAGCCAGCCACGTCGCCTAAGCAGATAGCTTTGCCGGACACCTGGAGGTCCTCCAGAGCGTTAAAGGCTTCTAATTTCTGTCTTTATTTTTTGGTAAAAATGAAAATGTTTTCACCATGTGTTTGTGGTTGGGTCTGCTAGTCCCACAATTCATAGCTTTCGATAGGCTTTTATGTCTCTTGGAAGGATGTATTTGTCCTGGGTCCGTGGACAGTGACGAGAATCCTGTTGGCAGAAAGTGATGTTTTTCCTATTTAATGCACTCAAAATGACTTTTTTCTTTCTTTTTTTGTAATTGCCATAAGGCACCTGTGATTATCAGAGAGAGGGGAGAAAGCACCTCCCAAAGGGGCGTGGTCCCACCACAGTCCCTTCTCCGTCTCTTCAGCCTGTTGGGATTTGGGGCGTGCACTCCCACATACTCACTGCTGGGCTGCGATTTGCACTGGAGTCGGCCACATGGAATCTGGCTCCCTTAACCACTAGGCTATGGGGTCAGCCCAAAATAACTTTTTTTTTTTTTTTTTTTTTTGGAGAGATTTTCACTGTAGGGCGCGTGCGCTCGCCAGACAGACAGAGAGAGACATAGAGACAGAAAGCGAGAAATCACTCCCCAGGGGGGATGGTCACGCCGCAATCCCTTCTCCTCCATTCTCCTCTCGGGATCTTGGGCACGCACGCACACGCGCCCGGCGTGAGTTTTAAGCCACCGGGTCCGGGACACGAACCGCGGTGGACTACGTGGGAGTCCAGCGACATAGCCATTACGCTAACTGCTGGTTCCCTTTTTTTCTTTTTTGAGAGATTTTTGCTATGGGGCATGTGTGCTTGCCGGACAGACAGGAAGCAAGAAATCAACCCCCGCCCCGGCGAGGTAGGAGGGGTGGCCACACTGCAATCCCTTCTCCATTTTCTTCTCTGGATTTTGGTCATGCATGCACACACACCCAGCATGAATTTTAAGCTGCTGGGTCCAGGTCTCAAACCACGGTCGACTATGTGGGAGTCCAGTGATGTAACCATTATGTCATCTGCTGGTCCCCCAAAATGACTTCTTAATAAAGTTGGTGGACTGAATGGTTCTGAGATAGAAATAGTGCCTTCCCAGCAAAGGGTGCTTTTTCCTGAAGTTTGAAAATTCTCAAGAAGACATCAGGGAATTAAGATGAAATGGAATCTACACTCGTCTAAGGTTGGCGTGTGCTCAGGGAAGCGCGGCATTGTATATTCTCCACATTTAAATTCGGGCTGGATTACATGTGATCGGGGCGACGTGAGCAAACCTGCGAAGTGTGATGTTTACACGAGCCCTCTTTCAGCCTGGCGGTTCACCCCGACAGGATCACCATAGCAACAGGACAAGTCGCGGGCACGACCGACGGTGGAAGGGTGAGTCATGCTTTCTGTCCGTGTTCCGTAGTCACCTGGTCGTTTTTTCCTGGAATGATTGTGCTGCTGAGCACGCATGCCTTTGTGCAGTTTCAGTATCTGAATACTTCGGGTCCTTTACTAGGATTTTCAAATTGTGAATGAAGCCTTACAGTGACTTTAAACCCCCTCTAGCTTATCTTAACTGAGGCAGAGTTTTTTGTTTTTTTAAATAGCATTTTCTTGCCCATCAATTCACTGATTCCGAAACTTATTTTCACACATGATCAACATCAAAATATGCAGGTACACATTTAACAAGTAAAGTAATAAATAATCATTTGAATGCAGAGCATTAGTCCCCTTTGGCCATTCCGGACACCTCTGCTGCGAATGCCCTACAGTCACAGGTTACCCACACGGTGTGCATCTGCTCCGCGCACAGCTGCAGGTGGCTTTCAGCACACATGTGGCAGGCTCTTTGCAAGACTTGACTCTGTGTCTTCAGGAACGAGATAGTGAGCTAGAGGAATTTAACACAGAGAATAACTCCGAAGGGCCTCTAGTGACCTCTATATCTCAGTTCGGCATTGTCATGCCTTCTTTGAAACGCCTGTGACTTTTTTGATAGCTGCTTTTTGTTTTTCAGTTTTTGTTACAAGATGCTTGTGCTCCTGGAGGGCGTGGGGCATGAGAAATCGCTCCCCATCCCCCCAGAGGGGACAGCATGCTGCAGTCATTTCTCCTCCGTTCTCCTCTTGGGATCTGGGCGCCAGGCACATTCACCTAGTCTGTTTTGAAGCCGCTGGGTCTGGGATTTGAACCACACAGTTGGCCACGTGGGATCCAGTCGCCTTAACCTCTGCACCAGCTGCTGGCTTAATGCCTACTTTTATGTGGCTTATTATTGCATGTTATATGGAACTAATTATGGTAAGCACTTCCAGAAAACGTGAATGCTACCATAGTTCAGAAAGCACTCAAAACCATCACATTTTAAAATAGTCATCTTATGCTATTTTTTATTAAAACATTATATTGAAAGAGGTGACAGAAATAATGGAGATTAGAGTACTGTTTTATAAATTCACATAAATGGAACAGGTCTTTTTAAAAAAGAAAAGAAAAATGTTATATAGCCTTGGAAAGTTCCTCGACGTAAGTAGTAAAACCTTATTCCTCCCTCTGGTGGCTGGGAAGTGTATTTCAGTTTCTGGCTTTGAAATAGAATCAGAACTTCAGAACCAGAGATGTTACAGCCAGCTGGCCTACCCCTCACCCAGAGGGGTTCCCAGCTGCTCAGAGACGTGTCTGAGCTGGGACTCAGCCCGCTGGACCCCCAGGCCGCGCCGATACAAAGCTGGTACCTTTCTGTTGACAGGTCTGCCGACTGGCCCGTGAGACCTTCTTTTATTGAGGAAGAGAAAAATTAGTATAAATCACTCAAGAGCAAAGCAGAGAAGGTTTTGAGCTAATCATGACAATTCTCATTTGTATTCGTGCGTAACTGATTGCCTCTTACAGCCTGTGGGACCTAAAGGCCACCACTGTTGCTGGTGACCGACCTTCCAGGTGACCCTAGGCATGCTGACACCTTGCATCAAACAAACCTTAAGACAATAGGCTATAGAGATAGTGAGCTAGAGGAATTTAACACAGAGAATAACTCCGAAGGGCCTCTAGTGACCTCTATATCTCAGTTCGGCATTGTCATGCCTTCTTTGAAACGCCTGTGACTTTTTTGATAGCTGCTTTTTGTTTTTCAGTTTTTGTTACAAGATGCTTGTGCTCCTGGAGGGCGTGGGGCATGAGAAATCGCTCCCCATCCCCCCAGAGGGGACAGCATGCTGCAGTCATTTCTCCTCCGTTCTCCTCTTGGGATCTGGGCGCCAGGCACATTCACCTAGTCTGTTTTGAAGCCGCTGGGTCTGGGATTTGAACCACACAGTTGGCCACGTGGGATCCAGTCGCCTTAACCTCTGCACCAGCTGCTGGCTTAATGCCTACTTTTATGTGGCTTATTATTGCATGTTATATGGAACTAATTATGGTAAGCACTTCCAGAAAACGTGAATGCTACCATAGTTCAGAAAGCACTCAAAACCATCACATTTTAAAATAGTCATCTTATGCTATTTTTTATTAAAACATTATATTGAAAGAGGTGACAGAAATAATGGAGATTAGAGTACTGTTTTATAAATTCACATAAATGGAACAGGTCTTTTTAAAAAAGAAAAGAAAAATGTTATATAGCCTTGGAAAGTTCCTCGACGTAAGTAGTAAAACCTTATTCCTCCCTCTGGTGGCTGGGAAGTGTATTTCAGTTTCTGGCTTTGAAATAGAATCAGAACTTCAGAACCAGAGATGTTACAGCCAGCTGGCCTAACCCTCACCCAGAGGGGTTCCCAGCTGCTCAGAGACGTGTCTGAGCTGGGACTCAGCCCGCTGGACCCCCAGGCCGCGCCGATACAAAGCTGGTACCTTTCTGTTGACAGGTCTGCCGACTGGCCCGTGAGACCTTCTTTTATTGAGGAAGAGAAAAATTAGTATAAATCACTCAAGAGCAAAGCAGAGAAGGTTTTGAGCTAATCATGACAATTCTCATTTGTATTCGTGCGTAACTGATTGCCTCTTACAGCCTGTGGGACCTAAAGGCCACCACTGTTGCTGGTGACCGACCTTCCAGGTGACCCTAGGCATGCTGACACCTTGCATCAAACAAACCTTAAGACAATAGGCTATAGGGGAGATTCCATTTTCCTTGGCATTTCCCATTTCTAAAATCCGGGCACACCCAAGCAGATAGATTAGAATGCCGGTTCCTGTGCACGAGTCACCAGGCTGAAAACCCACAGCCCTCTCCCGACTGCGAAGTTGGCCCCCGGCCACGGCACCTGGAGCCAATGGGAAGGTTTCGTTTTTCTTAAAGGGCAGAGGCTGTGAATGTTAGAAAGACCTTTGTCTTGCCAAAACCGAGGTAATCGCCCACGTCACCTGCAGCTTCCAGGGCAAAATGAGTGTGTTTGTCAGGTTGATGGCTGCGTTCCTCCCACACAGCAACTGCCCCCCCATGTGCGCATCTGGGACTCCGTGACGCTGAACACCCTGCACGTCATCGGAATAGGCTTTTTCGACCGCGCTGTCACCTGTATCGCGTTCTCAAAATCTGTAAGTACGCGCTCGGCGGGTCCTGCAGCACAGGGTCAGACTGGGGCAGTGCACACGCAGTGCCTACCTGCTGCACCAAAACACCCCTGCGTCCCAGACCCACACCGGGCGTCTCATCGGGAGCACACGCTGCCAGTCAGATGTCGCCAGCCTGGCGGGCTGAGTAAGCAGGCCCAGGACGTGGTCCTCACGTTCCACAGCGTGCTTCTCCCTGCGTCAGCCTTGGGTTTCATCTGCCCCCTTGGCAGGTGGTCCTGCCTGTCCGCCCCACCCACCCTCCCACACTGGGTGGGCTCCCTGCCCTTCACAGAGGCTGGCCTGGATCTCCTGGGGGGTCTCGGCTTCATCAACAGACCTGCCCTTGTGCCCTTAAACCACCACTTGCGCCCATGAGCACGCGCTCACGCATTCTCCACGGGCATGCACTAGGGCCTCACTTCCTGTGTGGCCTTACTGTAGCTCTGCACTGCTGCCCGCTGAGGCCTGGCTTGGGCCTGCCGCCGGCACCGTCTCTTCTAGGAGTGGCTCTGGTCACTGTTGGGGCTGCGTTCCGTGGGCTCTGCTAGCCAAGTGATGACCCCTGATCCCCTTCTCCTGCTCCTTCCCTCCATTTCCTGGTCTCCCTGTCTGGCACGAAAGCAGGGTGAGGGGCCAGACGGTGGCACAGAGGTAGAACACAATGCCCTGCAATGCAGTCCCACGTGGAAAGGTTCCTGGTTCAAGTCTGGACACCTCCCTGAGTGCCCAGACCTGGGTGTGGCCGTGGTCTGTCCGGCTGAAGGCTGGAGTGGTCCCGGCTCACTCTCTCTCCCTTTAACTAAGGCAGTGGACTCTTTTAAAAGTAAAATTAATGCTCACCTTTAATCATGTTTACCCTATTTTATTCTCAAATGTAGTCTCGCGACTAACTCTCTCCCCAGAATGGAGGAAGCCACCTCTGTGCGGTCGATGACTCCAACGACCACGTGCTGTCCGTGTGGGACTGGCAGAAGGAGGAGAAGCTGGCCGATGTCAAGGTCTCACTGCAAGCCCTCTGCTGGCCTGCGCTCTCGTCTTCCCGGGGAGCCTGCCTCAGCGGGCCCAGGGCCCTGCGAACTGTGTGCCGGGGGGCTGCCCCCCCACCCCAACCTCGGGCCGGGTCGTGCTCTCCCCAAGGCTCTGCCCCGTCCTCTCTCCCCGATGTCTGAACCCTTCTCGCATCCTTGCTGCACAGCCGCTGCCCTTCCAGCTCATCAGCTATTGGTTCACCCTTCCTCTCACTCGTAGACAAACACCCAGGGTTCACCGTGTGCTCACAGGGTGCCAGGGGGCTCCGGGGGTGGTGAGTGGGGGCAGGTGCCCAGCCCAGGGTTCACCGTGTGCTCACATGGTGCCAGGGTGCTCTGGGGCTGGCGAGTGGGGGCAGCCCAGGGGCTGGTCCACAGCCAGAGGATGCAGGAGAGGCCAGCATTGCCACTGGCCACAGCCCACGTCCCTCCCGCGGGGCTCTCCTGCTCTGGCTGCCTCCAGTCCGGCTGCCCAGAGCGTCAGATGAGCCTGCCTTGGGCTCCCGTGTTCTCCTCCTACTGAAATCAAGAGTGTGTCCCGATTTGATCGAACTGACTTCAGGGTTCTCATCTCGGCACCTGTCAACCTCAGGCGGCCTTACTTACCTAATGTCAGAATTGCCGCTAGATGATCTGGTTACTTACCCAATGTTACAGTTGCCCTTAGATAATCCTGTTACTCACCTAACCCCAGGACGTGCCAGATCACCCGCCCACTCACCTAACCCCAGGACTATGCCAGATCCCCCGCCCACTCACCTAACCCCAGGACCGTGCCACATCACCCGCCCACTCACCTAACCCCAGAACTGTGCCAGATCACCCACCCACTCACCTAACCCCAGGACTATGCCAGATTCCCCGCCCACTCACCTAACCCCAGAACCGTGCCAGATCACCCGCTACTCACCTAACCCCAGAACTATGTCAGATCCCCTGCCCACTCACCTAACCCCAGGACCGTGCTAGATCCCCCGCCCACTCACCTAACCCCAGGACCGTGCCACATCACCCGCCCACTCACCTAACCCTAGGACTGTGCCACATCACCCGCCCACTCACCTAACCCCAGAACCGTGCCAGATCCCCCCTCCCCTGGCACTACACTCATGTGAGGTGACCCCACGTGCCTGCCTTGTGGGCCCGCTGTCTGGGAACCTCGTGTTCCGAGCAGGCTTGCCTCCCACCCAGCTCCCATGCGGGAGCCCCGCCTCCTAGTGTTCGGGTTGGATATTTAAATTCTGGCTGTGGTGCTGGGCTGGAAGCCATCGGAGTGAGTTACCCTCAGGTTCAAGAACACACCACTGAATGGCTAAGGGTCGGACGGTGGTCCGGTCCCGGCTGAGCAGAAGCGGCAGGGCCTGGCAGCCGGATGTGGGCTGATGGCTGGTTCAGCGGCACTCATATTGCCACCCAGGCTGGCGACGGCCCCAAGTGGAGTCCCAGTGGTTCAGACCAGGAAGGACTCCCAGGGAAGCAGGCCAGCCGGGTCCTCCAGGAATCATGGAGCTACATAAAACCCAGACTCCCGGGCCCTTCCCTGCAGATGTCATTGTCCACTGGGGCACAAGGCTGAGAGACCCTCATCGTGCGACTCGGGTCCCGCTGCCCGGCCAGCCTACCGCCAGGGGTGCTGCATGCTGCTCCGTGCCCCCCGTGACAGGCTTGGCATGAGGGATGGCTGCCCCTCACCCCCGTGCACAGGCTCATACCCCCAGGGGAGACGGGGAGGCGGGGCGCTAGGCACGGGTCACCTGGAGGCCAGTGTTTCCGCAGGACCGCTTGGTGAGGGCAGGAGGCCCGTGCTGGGCCTGAGGGCGTCGTCGACTCCCTGGGGTCAGAGTGCCCGGCTTTCTGAAGTGTCCGAGCATGTCCGCTCCTGTCTCCTCAGTGTTCCAATGAAGCCGTCTTTGCTGTGGATTTCCACCCCACGGACACCAGCGTCCTCGTCACCTGTGGGAAGTCACACCTCTACTTCTGGACACTGGAAGGGAGCGCCCTTATTAAGAAGCAAGGGTTATTTGAGGTATTTCAACTACCTTTTAAACAACTTCGCCAAGTGGTTCACATGAGGGGCTCGGTTTTAAGGGAGGCACTGAAGTATCCTAGTCTTTTTTTTTTTGGAGAGGTTTTCGCTATAGGGCACGTGCACTCGCCAGACAGACAGAGAGAGACATAGAGACAGAAAGCGAGAAATCACCCCCCAGGGGGGATGGTCATGCCGCAATCCCTTTCCTCCATTCTCCTCTCGGGATCTTGGGCACGCACGCACACGTGCCCGGCGTGAGTTCTAAGCCACCGGGTCTGGGACGCGAACCGCGGTCGACTACGTGGGAGTCCAGCAACATAGCCATTACGCTAACTGCTGGTTCCCAAGTATCCTAGTCTTAAAGCTAGTTTTAATGGCGAATGTGTGGTGCCGCGGGGGGTGTCGTGGTAAAGACTGTCCTGTGGGCTCCCTAGTGGGTCGAGGAGCCCATGTGTCCTGTGGGTAACCCCGCCAGGAAGTGGGAAACAGGTGGGCAAAGCCAGGGGAGAGGGGAGAGCAGGGGCGGGGACAGCCCCTGGGGGAGGCAGAGGCTGTACCCAGCACGGCCGTCCACAGAGTGCACAAAGCCAGGAGGCTCTGGCAATGGTGGCGACACTGATGGGTAACAGCACCAGGGGACGGCGCCTACCTCATATGGGCCCGGTGCTGCCACCACCCAGAGGCTAAAGTGGGGGCCCTTTCCTCTGGCCCCAGGGCCTGTTCTGTAGGCACGGCCCGCCCTCCTCCCCCGCCCTCCCCTGTTCCAGGGTCTGTGGCTCTGTGATCCCCCGCCGTTTGGAGTTGCCAGAAATTTCTGTGTCTCTGAGCCACCGCTCCCCTGGCACAGTCACGTCATGTAGATAAATCAGGCCCTGGGTGGTGGCAGAGACGGACGCGCTGCAGCCTGAGGCGGCTGTGATCCTGGATGCGGAAGTACCACCAGAGGGTGCCCGGGGTAAATGCGTGTGTGTTTGCTACCTCCCACAGAGACAGGAAAAGCCAAAGTTCGTCCTCTGCGTGACTTTCTCTGAAAACGGCGACACCATCACCGGAGATTCGAGTGGCAACATTTTGGTGTGGGGGAAAGGTAATGAACGATCATTCGGTGCAGCCGTGTGTCGGCATGTGAGGGTCAAAGGCCACTTCGACAAGAATGGTGACGATGGGGTTTACGGGGTTACTGTTCAGTTCCGAGTCTCAGGCGCCCACATTCGTGTGTGTGTCATGAAACCAGAAAACTAGGACAGCAGCAACGTGGAGGACAGGGCGAGGAATTGACCTCGTATAATTCTTTATTTAAAAAAGTTTGTATATTTATTATTTACATAGAATCACTACACATCCTTACAGTGCACAGTGTGGTTTTTCTGAGCATAAATATGGCGCCAATCGGTCACAACAGGGACATTGCTGTGTACGCTATCATCAGCAAATACTTTTTTTTTAAGAGGTTTTTGCTATAGGGCACGTGCGCTTGCCAGACAGAAAGTGAGAAATCACCCCCTAGGGGGGATGGCCACGCCGCAATCCCTTCTCTTCTCGGGATCTTGGGCATGTACGCACACGTGCCTGGCGTGAGTTTAAGCCACCGGGTCCAGAACCGAACCATGGTCGACTACGTGGGAGTCCAGCGACATAGCCATTACGCATTACGCCAACTGCTGGTCCCAGCAAATACCTCCTCATGTCTGTGTCAATTAAGCGTACAGTCGGTCTGTTTTCCCCACCCTCCCTCCTGTTCCTACCAGCCCTATTGCCCCCCTCGCCACCTCTAGTACCCACAGTCGCCTTCCCTGCTGCGATTCCTCCCAGTCTCTCCGTCTGCCGCACGCAGAGGCCTTGTGTAACCCTAGAAGGCGCTGTAGGCGCCAGGTACTGCCGATACGACGGGACGACCAGCTTCAGGAGGAAATCGAGTAGCACAGTATTGCGACGAGCAGTTAGGGAGTAGTATGTAGCTTTAACATAAGTAGCTGTTCTGATTCTTACAGCGTTTGGCGGACACGTACTGAGTGCTAATTAGATACTAGACATTGTGTACATCTGCAGGGCCTTCGGAAAGCTCACAGAACATGTGTATGATGGGAAACTATGCATACGTTTTCAGTTTTTTGCACAAAGATAAACTCATGCTTTAATTCCATTTTTCCACCAACTTTTTCAAGTGCCTGCGTGTGAGTCAGTCCGAATTCCCACTGTCAGTGAGCAGTGTGGTGAGGGGCACGCGTCACTCAGAAACCTGCCCTCAGTCCCTTCTGTGCACGTTTCTCTGTGCTTCCCACGTGCCTGGAGAAAAGGGAAAGTGCACCATCTTGGCCCTGAAGGATCTCCAAGTTGGGGCTGGGCTGATGGTGGGGACAAACCCGTAAGCACAATGTCAGAGAAGCACGGTGACTCTTGCCGTGGCCCAGCTGCTCTCGGTGTTCACTGGATCCTCAGGACAGTGCCTGGGATGCGTAGAGCCCCGTGTCACCGAGAGGGCGCCGAGAAGCACAGCATCCAGCGCCTTGTCCAGGGGCACACGGCTGTGACGCGGATATTCACGCCCAGCCCCTGCCCAGCCGCGGCTGTGTCCAGCCGCCCCAGGGCGTGTCGTCGCGTTTTCCTTGATTGTAGAGCGGCCCCATGCGCCGTGGACTTCCAGAAACCGAGTTCTGCGGAGCCTCACATTACAGTGGCATTCTGCCCACAGCGCTGCCCTTTGAAACAAAGTGAGACGAGATCTGAGAGTGGGGAGAGGGAGCCTTTCGGTACTGAGCTAATGTGGCTTCCTTGGCGTGTTTAGGTACAAATCGAATAAGCCACGCAGTCCAAGGGGCCCACGAGGGTGGCATTTTTGCACTTTGTATGTTACGAGACGGCACCCTGGTGTCAGGAGGAGGCAAAGACCGGAAGCTCATCTCTTGGAACGGAAACTATCAAAAACTGCACAAAACCGAGGTAGGCCCCCGAGCACAAGTGGAATGCATTTAGAAGCACCAGCTGCGGTCCTGGTCAGTTTCCTGATTAGTCTGACTCTGTAGCTTATGGTTTTGAAAATCGCAGGTGAAGTTATATTCCATGGGGACAAAGTATTTCATTAAATCATGGGAACAGTACAACTATTAGAACGTGATTTGATCGATGAAATCGGAGGTTGTGACACGCTTCATATTTCGAGTATTTTTAGAACCAATCTCGGTTTTCCAAGGAACCGTTACCCACATTTTGATTTATCATGAAAACCTCTCTTCTTTTTTCACTTTAATTTCCAGCATGTCCCCTCAGAGATATGACTGGCTTGATGGGACTAAGATTTATTGAGTGTCTACTTGGTGCACGGCCCTCCGCTGATGCCAGCATGCTCTAGGGCACTGCACTCCCTCCCTGCCCACTGCCTTCCCTGTTCCCTGGCAGCAGCCCTGGTCCCAGTGGGAGCCAGAGGCGAGACAGTCGCTGAGTGTTCTCCAGAGTCCAGAAGTTTTGAGCAGAGCAGTTGCAACGTTGCTATTGTTCTGAGAACTCACACTTTCACCCCAGCAGAGTAGACACGTCACAGGACTTTGCTGACGTCCGCGTCTGGTGTCACATCGAAGCGGGCCTGGCACCTCCTTGGCACCATGGGGATCCGCTTGTCGGTTATTGTAAAGGCCTTCACCTCCCCATTCATGCAAACTTCAGCTGTGAAAAGATTTTTTTTAAGTTTTATAATATTATTTGTTTGTTTATTTATAATTTGCCAGAGGGCAGTTGCTCTTGCCAGAGAGAGAGGAAGAGTGAGAAAGCGCTCCTCACAAGGGATGGCCACACCACAGTCCCTTCTCCCCCATTCCTTTAGGGATTGTGGACACACATGCCCCCAGTGTGTGCTTCAAGCCACCAGGTCTAGGACTTGAGCCACGCTGTTGGCCAGGTGGGAACTAACACCTGGACCACCCTGCCACTGTTGGGCTCGCTCTTTTCTTTTCTTTGTTTTAAATTTATTTCTTCCATGGGGGTGAGAGACAGGCATTCCTAACAGGGTCTTCTCACCAGCCTCAGCAGGCCCTGTCCTCCATGCACAGGGAGACCTCAGGGTGCAAAGGCAGGGCCTTCCCACGTGGGCTCAGCATCATAGGCACTGCTGCCTCTGCGTCACCACAGCTGGCCCACGACCACATTTCTACAGCAGGATGTGGCCAGCGCTCCACGGAGTGTGTGGTGAGTCGGTGGCGCTGCAGACACCCCCGTTCAGTGGACACTGCAGAGAACGCTCCAAAGGCTCGTCTACGCCGTGGGCGTCACTCGCCATCTGCTAGTGTCTGTGATTCCGCCTCATTAGCATGCGTCCCCGTTAGCCTTGCTCCTCCTGTGTTCACAGCCACGCTGGCGAGGAGGGTGAGGGCAGCCTGCTCCCACTGTCCTGGTGGCCATGCCGGGCTCCAGCTCGGTGCCCATCCTCTTACGGTGCGAGAACTTAGGTTCCTTGATCAGGCAGGGCATTTTTTTAGAGTTTTTTGTTGTCGTTTTTATTTTTGTTTTTTGTTTTGTCTTGTTTTTTTTTTTTTTTTTTGCTATTGTGCATGTGTGCTCTCCAGTGAGGTCAAGACAGGGAGCCAGAAAGCAAGAAATCACCCCTCAGGGGGTATGGTCACGCCATAGTCCCTTCTCCTCCATTCTCCTCTCAGGATCTTGGGCACGCTTGCACATGCGCCTGGTGTGAACTTTAAGCCTCTGAGTCCGGGACTCGAACTACGGTCAAATATGTGGGAGTCCAGATGTAACCATTATGACATCTGCTGTTCTCACGGCTGGGCATTCTTTTTTTTTTTTTTGAGGGTTTTTTGCTATAAGGCATGTGCACTCACCAGAAAGACAGAGACAGAGAGACAAAAAAGGAGAAATCACCCTTTGGGGGGATGGCCATGCTGCAATCCCTTCTCCTTCATCTTCCTCGGTGTGAGTTTAAGCCACCAGGTCCTGGACTCGAACCTCAGTCAACTACATGGGAGTCCAGTGACATAGCCATTACGCCAACTGCTGGTCCCGGCAGGGCATTCTTAGCAAGTGTATTTGACATTGTTTTTCTCACCATTTAGACTATTTCATATGTTTATGAACATGAACAATGGATTTTAATACTAAACAGTGACAGTACCCAAGAACTCTAAGTTCCAGTACGTTTCTCGAAACTCTGATGATGACCATGTTATATAACTCTTTACTTTCTCAATTTTGCCTACTGCTGCCACCCAAAGCCGTAGCGAGCTCAGAGTAAGCTGAGCAGTCGTCGCCCTGGTTTTCTGCTGGCGGGAGCGGTGGTTTTGGTTGTTACTGTCGCAGCCCCCTGCTGATTCTCCAGAGGGGTGTAGAGCATATGTAGAATGTTTGTCGTTACCGAGTGGAGTTTGGGGTCTCGGTCACCCATCCGCTCAGTGGGCTGTGGGATCTGTCGATCTGCAAGTCTCTGTTCCTTTGTGTGAGTGTGTAGAGAGACTGTACTCACACGTGTACGTAAGAAGCTGTCAGCGTGATATACATGCCAGTGTGAGTATTCTGCATGGCCGAGCCGAAGACTTCGTGGACCTCAAATCTTTTCTTTTCCCCTGGCTCTTGTTGATGCAGATTCCAGAACAGTTTGGCCCCATACGGACCGTGGCTGAGGGGAAAGGTGACATCATCCTCATAGGCACCACCAGAAACTTCGTCCTGCAGGGCACCCTGTCAGGGGACTTCACGCCCATCACTCAGGTAGGATCGCCCAGCAGGCCCGCACCCCTGGACTGCTCCAGACGGGAGATTCCCGTGTCTCATACCGAGACTACCTGCCTCCACTCCCAAGGTTCGGGGGCCCTGGGTTGAGTGGGAGGAGAGATGGACCAGGGCCGTGCTGAAGTCGCAGGGAGCCGTGGCGCGTTGGCCTCGGGCTCCTCAGTGCCCCCTTCTGCCTTGTTCCTTGCAGGGCCACACCGACGAGCTGTGGGGCCTGGCCGTCCATGCCTCAAAGCCTCAGTTCTTGACCTGTGGCCATGACAAGCACGCCACTCTCTGGGACGCTGTTGGTCACCGGCCCATCTGGGACAAAATAATAGAGGTAAATGTGGACATGGCGTTTCCTTTTTTCTACAGAAACTCTCCTGGAACACACTCATTTCTTTCGGCATGGACCTAGTTGTGATGTGAAATTGTCTGAAGGCAAATGTCAGCCCCCTCTTCAATTCTTCGGAATTGCGTTGCTTTCAACCCCACCTCGCGTGGTCTGGGCGTGATTCTGAAGCTCTCTGTTGCCTCTGCCGACAGCGAGCGGGCCGTCGGGTTCCCGGGAGTACAGTCTCGTCTCTGGCGTAAAAGCGGAGAGACGTTCCGGCCTGCGTCCACTTGCAGCGCGCCCTTCTGGTGGGCGGGCGCTCGCCATGGGATGGAAGACAGCATTTAGCTTTTCCCTTCTTCCTGAGGTCAGGGCAAAGCTCTGGTTTGGTTTTCTTTTTCTTTTTTTCTTTCATGAGAGACAAGTACTGTCAAAAGGTCTCATGGCGCAATCCCCTCCACGCTCCCAGCCTTTCGGTCAGCCAGGGTATTTGGTGGGCCCGAGACCCCCCTGGCCTTCCATGTGGCCCTCAGAGTTGTGGAGCGTAGCAGTACCACATGCCGCCGTGGCACGGCGGCCGGGCCAAAGCTGTCGTTCTGCAGTCAGCTCTGTGAACTTTGCACGAGGAGCTCAGACTGTGTGTGGGAGTGTGGAAACACCCTCCCTACTGCCACTCAGCCGGCATTTCCGGTCGCTGGCCATTTGCACACCATGCACCGTGCACATCTTATACTTAGTCCCTGCTGCAGCCCGCGGGGTGGTGTTTTCGCTCTGACTCTATTGATTAGGAAATAGCGGCTTAGCACAGTCAGATAACCAGCCGCTGTCTCCGAGTTAGCCAGTGGGAGCCAGTGTGCATGCCGGCACCCTGGCCCGCTGCCCGGCTGCGCCCTGCTGTGGCGAGTTGAAGCACGTCGTGTGACTCGTGCCCAGAGGATGCGGGCCACACACTTCATGAACCAGCCCCTGCAGCGCCCACGTGGCCTCTCCCATCCCCACAGGGTGCTGGCTTCTCCCAGGTTCGAGCTGCCTGTCCGCTCTCCTCCCCTCGCCCTCAGAGAAAGCGTACCACTGGGGAGGGGAATGGGAACTCTCGTGGCCATTCAAGCAGGACGTGGACAGGACGAGAGGCAGGTGCTCCCCGCAGAAGAGAGCAGGTGCAAACCAAGTGCAGGACCCAGTTCAAGGCATGGTGTCCCCGTGGTTCCTGAGCCCTGGTGGCAGGGTGTAGTCTTCTGTGGCTGTGGCAGCCCTGCTGAAACACAGCAGGCTCTCGTCCCCCGGCCCCCCACAGGCTGGTGCCTGCCCAGCTGTACAGGGCATGGCCCTGACCTGGGGGCCAAGGTGTGTGGGCGAGTCCTGGCTCCCTCTGCTGCTGGCTGGGCCTCTGAGTCTTCTTCTCATGAGGGCACCGAGGCTCAGGCAAGTCACATGTGGGCGTGCTCTCATCGCAGGCCCCGTGCCTGCACCTGTGGGGCTCCAGGCCGTGGGGCACTTGATGCTGCGTTCCTGTTTCAAACAGACCAAGCCCACCATTTGATGGGCTTCTCGTTGGGATCAGCAGGAGGTGCCACGCTATGTGGACCATGGCAGGAAGAGGAGCATCTGGTTACTGTGGACATGGAGTCCATGAGAAAGAAAAATTCTAGGAGGGTAAAAACTTGCTATTATCGAAACATGACATTCGTTCCAGTAGGAGACCTTCTCTCTGGAGAGAAAAAGGAGTTTCTGCTGGAGTGGCGTAGCCCTGGGGGAGCAGAGCGACGTGTGTTTGATGCTGCAGTGCCGTGCCTGCCCCTCAATTTACACTTCTTTAAAATGTTTTAGGATCCAGCTCAGTCTTCTGGTTTTCATCCTTCAGGGTCTGTGGTTGCCGTTGGAACACTGACTGGCAGGTGAGTGCACGCGAGCGGCTGGAGCTTTCGCGCTGGTGGGAAGCGGGCCCTGGTGGTATCTCCCGGGACAGGCTCGGCTTAGGCCCGGCTGCATCTTCTCAGACTCTGACGACTTACTGAGCATGAGGTCAGAACGTGCCAGCAGAACCAGCAGTGCTGGCCTTCCCATCTTGGACCTGGGGAGCTGAGAGAGCTGTGGCCCCTCTCTCCTTGCAAGTCCTCCCCCCACTACACACACACACACACACACACACAGGTCTCCGATGTCAGAGATCCGTGGAGCCCCTGGAGCCCTGACTGCGAGGCTAGGGGAGGATCTTCAGCTTTAGAACTAGGGGAGAAGGCTTCAGAGTGCTGGGAATGCACAACTGTGCGTTCTGGCTGCCCTCGCCCGGGTGCTGGGCCTCTTGCTCAGGTTCAGCCGACGCTTGCTTACCCGGCACCTCTGATAGGCCAGGCAGACACCCGCGTGGATGCCCCAGCTGCGCCCCTCGGCAGTGCGTCTCTGAGCTGGTGACGTCACTTCCCTGCCGTGTTTCTTTGCTGTAACCCATGAGTGCTTGGGTAGGATCGTCATCTCATGATGACCCGCTGGCTCTGCACGGGCGAGTGAAGGACCTGCTGGGCTTGCCGGGCAGGTGGCCGTCCCCATCGCTGTCTTACAGGCCTGGGTTGTGCCTTTGTGTGACTGTCTTCACGTTTACAGCTCCTGTGCTCTCGTCCAGATATTTTTGGTGATTTTCTCCCATTTTCCTCTCAGAAGTGTCACCACTTTGATGCTGTTGTTATGACTGTGGAGAGTAAGGAAAGAATGGCCTGGGCTAGCAGGTGGCATAGTGGTTGGGGTTCTGGACTCCCACATGACCAAGTGAGGTTCGAATCCCGGACCTGATGGTTTTAAAATCTTGCTTGGTATGTGTGCATGTGTGCCCCGAATCCCAGGAGGATGATGGAGGAGAAGGCATGGCCATGCCCCAAGGGGAGTGATTTCTCACTTTCCCTCTCTCTGTCTCTTTCTGTCTTTCTCTGGCGAGCGCACATGCTCTGTGACGAAATCCTAAAAAACTAAAAAGAGCTGGGCCGCGTGGGGCCACCGCCCACACGCACGCACGCCCAGGTGCTACCATCATTCAGCTCTGTCCAAGACAACTGGAGCTTTGTGCTCGCAGGCTCCCACCCTCTGAAGCCTGGCCGGCAGCCAGGGTGGACCACAGTCCTCATTTTCTACCTGTCGCCTGCTGGGGAGCAGAGGAGACAGAACACGGGGCCTAATCCCTGCCCTCCGGCTGCGGCTCCTGCTCCCTGCCCCGCCAGGCGTGGTCCTGACGCGGTCGACTTCCCAGGACTTGGCAGAGGCATCTTCCGTGGCCCCAGTCTGCGGCAGTTACATTTCCACTGCCCTCGAGGCCACGGAGGCTGCTAACCATAAATGTCGAGGCACCAGGACTCAAAGCTGAAAAGCAAACTCCAGGTTTCGGAGGGGACAGGCAGTCCTGGGGAGCGGCAGTGTTAGGGCTGTAGAGAAGGTGAGTGGACGCTGTAGCTGCCCCTCCGTGTCTGTGGGGAATCGGGCCCAGGACCCCCAGGGCTCCTCAGCCGCAGATTCAGCCTCCAGCATGCAGGGCCGGTGGAAACCCCTGGGGATGTGCAGCGGGTGGGCGCCGTCCAGCTCAGGGACTGCTGCAGCTGGGGCCTGCACGCTTGGTGGGCCTCAAAGCTCTGGTCCCCCGACCACTGCCACCAGAAACCGCAGCGGGCAGGGGAGTTCAGGCGTCCGGACATTCCCACATGTAGCGAGGACGTGCCCCATCAGAGGACACGGTGCCCTTCGGGAGCCACTGCAATCCGTTAGGCTTGAGCCTGTAGAGCAGACCTGGGCTCTGGTACCCATTTCGCTACCGCGGAAACTGGGCCAGAGACCAGTCCTCTCCTCCCCTCCCGCAGGTCCCACAGCGCTTCCTTTTACCCTGTCAGTTGCGTGCGCACGCGCAGAGGCCCGCTCTCGTTCCCTCGGCCTGGTGGGTAGTTCGGCAGTTCCCCACCCTGACTGTCCCAGCCGCGTGCTCCTGGGCCACCTGCTTGCTCCGAGTCTCTGGACCAGCTCGTAGAGGCGGTGCCTGCCGCCTGCGCCTCTGGGTGGCTCACCTCCTGCCCAGGCTTTCTCTCCTGCGTGTACACGGCAGGACGCAGACACGGAGACACCAGGGCACAGTGTGACAGCTGCGTAGCCGTGAGCAGCAGCCTATGGGCTAGTCCTTCCCAGCATCGAGGGCGTGCTTGTGTCCAGGAACGTCCTTCGAATAAAAGCCGGGAACACGGTTCCCGGGAGGCAAGCACGGAGCAGCTTTGAAGCCCCTGATCACGACCTTTTCATGGCCTTACTATTAGCGAAATAGCAGCACTGTTGTTGCAGCACTTTCTCCGTCTTCTCACCGAACTCCCCACTGTGCTTTTTCTCGTGTTTACGCAGGTGGTTTGTGTTTGACACAGAAACGAAAGACCTGGTCACCGTGCACACGGATGGAAACGAGCAGCTCTCCGTAATGCGCTACTCGCCAGGTTAGAACCTGAGCCGTTTGCTCTTTCAAAGTCCAAGAATCATGGAATTCTGTTAGATGGCATCAGAGCAAGATTTGCAAGCCTCATCACAGTTGGCTTTAAATCACACATGCATGGAACTGGCATGTAGGGTTCTCCGGCTTGGGTTGCCGTGTGTGCGTGTGTGCGCGTGCGCGTGTGTGTTTTCAATTTGCCAGAGCGTGTGTATGCTCACTGGGGAGAGACAGAGAGAAAGAGAAAGAAGGAAAGTGGGAAAGCACCCCTTGAGGGGCATGGTCATGCCGCGCTCCCTTTTCTTCTATTCTCCTTTCGGGATTTTTGGCACGCACCCACATGTACCCAGCGTGTTTTTGAAGCTACTGGGTCCAGGACTTGAACTGCAGTCAGCCATGTGAGATCCAGCTGCCCTAACTATCACACAACTGACTAGCCCACGTGAGTGTTGTTTCACTTCGTTTTATGGAAAATTTCTAATCGCAACAAACTTAGACTGGTGGAAGGAACGCCAAGCACCCATCACCCAGCACCCACATGATCACCTGCCTCTAGCTGGTCTAGGTCACCTGGAGATGCACCTGCTGCCCCTTCTCCTGTATTATTTTGAAGCAGTTCCCAAGGCATCTTATCATTGCATCTGTAAACATTATTATATGTATCTCAAAAAGATGAAGATTTTTTAATAGCTTTATTAAGATATGATTTGCATACAATGATTTACATAAATGTACAGTTCAGTGACTCTTAATAAATTCATCAGCTTGTACGGCCATCACCACCATCCAGCTTTAGAAACTTCACATCACCTCAGAAGTCACCTTCATGCCCATCAGCAATTAATCTACACCCCTACTGCCAACCCAAGACAAACATTGCTCTGCTTTCTGTCTTCATACGTTGATTTTTCCTGGACAAAACCTATAAATAGAATCATTGAGATTAACTCAGGTTTATCATGTGTGTCTATGAGTAGCTTTTCCTTTTTCATTGCTGGCTATTATTCCATTGTATGGGCATACCACCTCTTGTTTACCCATTTGTCAGTTAACAGACGTTTGGATTGTTTGGGGTTTTTTTTGACTGTTAGAGTAATGCTGCTATGAGTTCTCATGTGTGTCTTTGTACAGACATATATTTTCATTTCTCTTTGGTAAATTCCTAGGAGTGGAGTTGGTGGGTTATATGGTAAACTTAGGTTTAATGTTTTGTGAAGCTGCCATCCTGCTTTTCAGAGCAGCTGTGCTGTGTTCCTTCTCACCAGCCATGTGGCAGGGTTCCAGGACCTCTACTTCCCCACAGCACCTGCTGTTGACTGTGTTTCTTGCAGGTATTCTACTAGGGGTGCAGTGATATCTCATCATTGCTTAACTGGCATTTCCCCAATGACTGTTGGTGTTAAGCAATTTTTTTTTTTTTTTGTAAGAGAGATTTTTTTGCTATAGGGCACATGCACTTGACAGAGACCAAGAAAGTGAGAAATCATTCCCCAGAGGGGATGGCCACACCACAGTTCCTTCTCCTCCATTCTCCTCTCAGAACTTTGGGTACCCACACACACATACTGGTGTGTTTTCTGAGCCACTAGGTCTGGGACTCAAACTGCAAAGTCGATCATGTAGAATCCAGTGCCTTGACCATCATGGCACTGGCTGGCCCTCTCCTATGCTTTTCTTTATTTTCAGGAGGATTGTTTATTTAGCCTTTACCTGTAGGTCTGCGGTCTTCTTTGAGTTATGCTGTGTGTGAGAGGTCAAAGTCAGAGATAGTTTGTTCTGAAGGTAGAGACATCCACTTGTCCCAGCACCATGTGTTGAAAAGCTAGTCTTCTCCCCATTGAACACCCTTAGCACTTGGTCAAAACCCAGCTGACCCTCAGTGTAAAGCTTGACTTCTGAATGCTCTGTTCTGCCCCTTCACCTGTACTTTTATCCTCGTGCGTCCACAGCACACAGCTCGGTGACTCTGACATTGGGGGGGTTCTGACTTCCAGTGGTCTATCTCCTCCAACTTTTTGTTTTTCAAAATTTTTTTTTTGGGGGGGGTCCCTTGCCAGATATATAATTTTATATAAATTTTAGAATTAGCTTATACACTTCTAACTTTAAATAGCTCACCAGAATTTTAATAAGGATTCTATGAATTTAGATCAAAATAGGGAAAATGGCCCCGTGACCGTGTTGAGTCCCTGAACACAGAGTGTCTTTCCATTTGTTTAGACCTTCTCTAACTTGTCTCAGCAACGTCTTACATCTTTGGTGCCACAGGTCTTACCCACCCTTTGTTACATTTGCTCCCCTAAGTTATTTTTATGTCATGGTGAATGGAATTGTTTCCTGAATTGTTTTCAGCGTTTTGTATATAGAGATAAAATTGACTCTGCACATCGATCTTATCTCCTACGGCCTTCCTAAGCTCTTATTCGTGATAGCAGTTTCTCTGTGCGTGTAACCCTTGGACTTTCTTCAGACAGGAGCGTCTCATCTGCAAATAAAGGCAGTTCTACTTCTTCCTGTCCAGGCTGGGGGCCTGCGGTTCCTTTTTCCCTCATTGCATTGTTCAATACCTCCAGTACAACATTAGACAGAAGAGCCTAGAGAGCATCCTTACCCTTCTCCCAGTCTTAGCAGAAAACCTTCAATCTTTCATCATTAGGAATGAAGGCGCCTTTGTCACTTTGAGAACGCTCCCTTTTGTTGCTAATTTAGGGAACTAGCATGAATTGGCTCTGGAGTTGTCAGGTGCTCTTTCCACATCTTTTGAGATAATTGTGGTTTTGTCCTTTATTTTATGGATGTGATTTGTTACCTTAATTTTCAGATATTAAACCAACTGTACATTCCTGTGCTAAATCCTACTTAATCATGGTATACAGTTGGCTGATATTCTGTTCAAATTGTTTGCACCCATGTTCATGAAGGATATTGACCGGTAGTTTTCTTATATCGTTGTCTTAGTTATGAGAGCACCATTGGCCTTACAGAGAAAGTTGGGCAGTGTTCTCTCCTCCTTCGGTTTCTGAGTTTGGGAAGGATTGGCATTTCTTTATTAAACCACTGACAGAATTCATGTGAATTCAGTGACGCCCTCGGGGCTCTGCTTTGTGGAAAGGTTTTAAGTGACTGATTCAATGTTTTTATTGTTATAGTTGGATTTGGGTTTTCTGTTTCTTCTTGAGTCATTTTAGTCATATGGGTCTATCCAGGAATTTGTCCGTTTTTATTCAAGTTGTCTGCTTCTTTGGCATAAAGTCATTCTTAAGATTTGCCCATACCTTGGATTTTTCTGAATTTGGTAACAAGTAACCAGTCTTTCGTTCTCGCTCTGGATAACTTGTGTTATTTCTCTTTTTTTCTTGGTCATTCTAGCTAAAAGTATATCAATTTTGTTCTTTTCAAAGCACCAACATTTTCCTTTCATATATTTTTCTCTATTGTTTTTGTTTCTATTTCTTCTGTTCTTTCTTCCTTTCTTCTCCTTGATTTATGTTTCATTTACTATTTTTTAGTTTCTGAAAGTGAAAGCTTAGATTATTTATTGGAGGCCTTTCTTTTCTGGTATGATATTTAAAACTACAAATTTCTTGTGCCAGACAGTGGCATGTGGTCAAGGCAGCTGGAGTCCACATGGCTGCCTGCACAGCCCCAGTCCCAGACCTAGCGGCTTGAAAAATGGTGGGTACATGTGTGCACATGCGTGCCCGAAATCTCAAGAGGAGAATGGAGGAGAAGGGATTGCAGCGTGGCCATCCCCTCTGGGGGGTGATTTCTCACTTTTCATCTCTTTGTCTTTCTCTGGTGAGCATGTGCACCCTGTAGCAAACTTTTAAAATAATAAATAAATAAAAAAAAAACCTACAAATTTCCCAGAGCTAAACTGCTTTTTAGCCACTTGCCATAAATTTTGAGCTGCTGTATTTTCACTTTTATTCTGTTCTAAATATTTCCTTATTTCCCCTTTGGCCTATGGGCTATTTAAAAATGTATTGATTAAGAGTATTCCAAGTATTTGGGGACTTCCCATGTTTCTTTCTGTCGTTGGTTTCTAATTTAACTTTATCTTTTTTTTTTGGAGAGGTTTTTTTGCTATAGGGCGTGTGTGCTCACCAGAAAGACAGAGAGACAGAAAGTGAGAAATCACCCCCCGGGGTTGATGGCCACACCGCAATCCCTTCTCCTCCCTTCTCCTCTCAGGATCTTGGGCACGCACGCACACACGCCAGCTTGAGATTAAGCCACCGGGTCCGGGACTTGAACCGCGGTTGGCTACATGAGAGTTCAGTAGTTAGCCATTACGCTAACTACTGGTCCCTGTGGTGGTCTTTTGTAGAACACATTGCACATGACTTTAACCTCTCTAACCATATTAGCCCTGTTACGGCCTTTGAGATGGCCTGCCCCGGAGCGGTCCCCCTGTGCGTGTGCCGTGAGAAGAACGCACGTTCTGCAGTCTGGGCGAAGTGCTGCGTGTCGGTCGGCGAGGATGGGTTGGTTGAGAATGTTCAGAGCGGGCCCATAGTGTTGTTCAGGTTACCCAGTTCCTTGCTGATTTTTTGTCTAATTGTTCTATCAGTGTTGACCGTGAGGTATTGAAGTCCCCAACTGTTATAAAAGTTCACTTCTTTATTTCTCCCATGACAGAAAGAGAGGCAGACCCCCAACAGCACCCTCACACCACGACCCATCCCTGGCATGAGTCAGTGGGATCATGAGCGCGCATGGGTACGTGTGCAGTCAGAGTGCACGCAGGGCCTTGGGTGCCCACCTGGGACCTTCCCGTGTGGGCCCAGGGTGCTCTCACTGCCCCGTCCGGCCCTACATATTCAGCAGTCACTGTTGAACTGTGAATTTCTCTTTTCAGCCCTTTCATTTTTCTTCATGTGTTTCGAACAAATGATTGGACTTCCATTCAGAGGTGCTCAAACACCTCAAGCCCTGGAGGCCCCGTCCTCTGCCAGCATACCTGTGTGCAGGTAGAGGAGTATCTCGAAGCACAGGCCGTGGCCA